ATGAGCATTTGTCTACTTTCACATAAAGTTGGATCTCTTGTAATACTTGAAATACCTGCGTCAAGTGGGAAACATGCTCCTCCAAGGATTGGCTATATACCACGATATCATGTAAATATACTACCACAAACTTGTCGAGGAATGGGTGGAATAACTTATTCATTAGAGTACAAAATGTGGCCGGAGCATTGGTCAATCCGAATGGCAAGAACTCAAAAGATCCATACCTCGTGACACAAGTTGACTTTGGTTCATCCCCCTCACCAATATGGACTTGATAATACCCCGATCGCAAGTCAAGTTTAGAGAAGTAGCATGCTTTCCCTAGTTGAGCGAATAAATCAGCTATAAGGGGGATTGGATATTTTTTCCTTACTGTTACCTTAATTAATGCTCGATAATCAATGCTCATGCATAGCGATCCATCTTTCTTTTTTTGAAACAGTATCGGCTTATCGGGGCACCATAAGGGGCTTTGGAGGGGTGGATATAACCAGCATCCAAGAGTTCTTTGAGTTTTTTTCATAACTCTTCAAGTTCAGGAGGCGCCATTCGATAAGGGGCTCTAGATGGTGGCTTGGAACTAGGTTCCAACTCAATCTCATGATCTACTTCCCTCCTTGGTGGATGCTTCTTTGGCAACTCTTTAGGCATCACATCTTGGAATTCCTTAAGGACCTCTTCAATCTCTATTGGCACTTCCTTCATTGATGACAATCCCTTTGACTCTTTTTTTTTATCACCGCTAAGTAACATGGCTCATGTTTTTTGAAACCCTTGTTAAATTTCATGGCAAAGAAAGTCTTCATAGTATTATTGGTACCTCGTTCCGTAGAAACCATACAAGTACGTCCGCCATCTAGGATGCACAAAGAATTAGAAAAAGGCATCGGGAAAGCACATACCATATCGAAGAACTCTAGCTCGAGTACAAGTTGGAGGTCATCCATCGGTACAACAGACAGGTTGATGGCTCCTCCCCATTCTCCAATCTTCGCTTCCACCTCATGTTCCACGCCCGTGACTATTTTACCGGCAGAATTCATGGCTTTGATGGAGCCACCCCCTTTGACATAGTTTATCCCTAATCATTTTGCTTCTTATGCAGAGATAAAGTTGTGAGTCTCTCCACTGTCAACAAGGGCCCTCATAGGAGTGCCTTGGATGATTGCTTCCACAAACTGAAGTCCCTTCTTCTTTATCTCTAGGACTATAGTCTTAGCTTTGATTGCATTGAGAATCCTCAATGAACCCACACAAAGCATCTTCATCTCCTTGCTCACTTTGAATCATTGCTTGGAATTTGGCATGCTTTGGGCAATTTCGTGGGACATGTGGTCCCCCACATAGAAAACAACCATCAACCTTGTTGGTTAGGTGAGCATCTCTTGCGTTGTTGAGTGAGGTCCTCCGCGTATTGTTGGTCATTGGGGCATTGGTTCTTGAAGCCTCATTCCGAAATTGCATCGATCTCTCTCCCCCAATCTTCTCAAAGTTCGCCCTTTGGGGGTCTCGTGATTTCGATGGTTCCCTGTGGCCGAAATCAACCAAGGCTTCGGCTTCCGCAATTGTAGTCACGAGGTCTTTTACTCCTCGTCTCTTCAACTATGTCTTGGCCCACCCTTTCAGCCCATCGAAGAAGTCGAAAAAAGCATCAGCATTAGAAAGATCGGGTATCTCAAGAGTGAGGGTGGTGAACTCTTTCACATACTCATGAATAGTCCTTGTTTGATGAAGTTCCCGAGGGCAGATCTTGGCTTCCATCATTGCCATTTCTGGATAAAATTGCCTTTTGAATTCACGAATAAAATCATCCTAAGTTTTCATGACACATGTACCTCGTTCGATGTCAGCATGTCTACGTCGCCACCATAATGTCGTAGTGTCCTTCAAGTACCTTGTAGCAGTCTTGATCTTTCATATCATCATCTGTTATGTTTACTCCTTCGAAGTATTGTTCCATTTCCCATAGGAAGTCATCAACCACCCATGCTTCTCTCTTCCCCACAAACATTGAAGGTGTTGGAACTTCAACTTTTTGGGCGTAGATGTTGGTGCCTCCTACTCCACCAACTACCGCCCACTTGGGAAGGGCCCAATCTACATGTACATCCTCTACAAGTTGGGTCAGGATAGAGAGCTCACCTTGCACTTGTTCATGTCTTTTAGCCACCTCACCGAAGAGCATCTCTTGTATGCCACGCATCCCTTTACGTAAGTCCCCACCAAGTTTATTGATTGCTCATTTTACGTTGCCTTGCATTTCATCGTTATCCGATGCTATCACCCCTATTTGTTGATGTGCATCCTCATCATGATCACACAATGTCTCTAAGGAAGTCTCCACTTCCGAAATTCTATTGTCTAAGGATCCCCACATATCCTTAGATTTACCTCGTCCCTTGCTTGCAACTTGACGAATCTCCTTTCTTCCTCGGTTGTCTTTGTTCGTCACAACACTAGCATCATTGGTAGCGTTCTTCTCCATCTCACCCGCCATGTCTTCCTTTACTTTATTCGCTCTGATACCACTTGTCATAGACTTGACTCTTCAAGCTCACCGTACGACACTTAATTCTCAAAGTAAGTCAGGCTAACTCGAATCTCCAACACAAGAACAAGGAAAGGAAGAAAATAACTCAACACGAAAGCTATTTATTACTCAAGAGAACTCAAATCAATTACAAGATGAATAGAAATGAAATGGGAGAGCCCTATATATACAAGAGGCAAGAACTTTAGGAATTAAGGACATCTTCTAGAATGTTTCTAGAAGATGTCTCTTCATGAGCCTTCCATGGAGTTTCTAGATATCTTCTAGAGTGTTTCTAGAAATGACTATTCTAGAGGCAAAAATAATTAGAGAAAATATCTAAATAAGGCGGGTCGTTATAATAAGCTCTAATAGAAGATGCAAAAAATGGTAGAGTGATTTGTTTGCATTTTGTTAAAGCTATGTAGTTTTTTATGGTTCTATACCTAATATTAAGTACATAACACCCATATATTCCCAAGCTTATATATATATATATATATATATATATATATATATATATATATATATATAAAGAGAGAGAGAGAGAGAGAGAGAAAGCTAGGTTCAAATGTGGATTGACATCTATTGTGTGGACATGCAGACAGTGCTATTCTATGAGAATGACAAATAAAAACATGTTGTTTGATAATGTGAATACGTTCAATCTTATATAATTATTGTCATTATCACGCATTCTCACTAATTAAATCGTCTATAAGGTTATTATATATATATATATATATATATATATATATATATATATATATATAATTCTTATTCTATCAGAATGTTTATTGAGTCGTATTCTGTAAGAATGAAAATGAGTAAAAAACAATGCGTGAGAATAAAATTGAATAAAAATTAGTGAGAATGCATGAAAATGACAATAATTATGTGAGGTTTAACGTATTTACATTACTAACAAACCTATTTTCAGCTACTTTATATTCACACGTGAATCTAAACTAGTCTTTTATATGTCACACGTAAATCAAAATTGTATCTAATTTTTAATATATTAATTCACATTAAAATAATAGTTATACCTATTTTTATTTATCCGCAGTCCTCTCTGTGTGTGTGTGTGTGTGTGTGTATATATATATATATATATATATATATATATATATATATATATATATATATATATATATATATATATATATATATATATATAAGTTCAATTGAGAAAATAAAAAAGTTGAAAATTGTAGAATCAATCCCAACCAATCATTTATTTTTGCCGCACAACGCTCCGACATAACAGGCCGACGGAAAATGAGTAATATTCATATATGAATACACACCTCCCTCCGACACCAACCACCACCGCTACCAACCACCATTGCGACCACCACAACCAACCACCGCCACCATCTACCGCCGCCATATTTATATATGAATAACCAGTTATGTTATACTTATTCATATATGAATACACTTATTTATATAAGTCGTCAGATTTGAAATGAATGACCCAGCTTCATTCTCATATTCTTAACCTCTTTTTTTCCTAAATTTTATATATATATATATATATATATATATATATATATATATATATATATATATATATATTTTAACTATGTTTTTGAATAAATCGAACTAATCAACAAAATATTTGTAGTATTTATAGGGTTACATTAACTTTTATTTAATTTTAATCAAATTAGCTAACATAATGATCATTTTGCAACTGAATATTAAGCTAAATAACAAATTAACAATGAACGAATATTAATAATATAATAGACAAATAATTTACTCGTCGGTGTAACAATATAGAATTTTTATGCATTGTTTTCTATATACTATACATAATTAAGAAAATAGAAGCAAATTAAAAAACAAAATGAGAACTAAGGACAAGATGTCTCCTTCGTGCACAAAAAATACCATGTTTCTTGAGAGTACGTGGTTAGGATGGAGAGGTCAGATATCATCATATATTCTATTTTGGAATATTCAGATATACACTTCTTTAAATTAAAGAAATTATTTATTTGTTTATTAGATGCAATACCAAAACTATTAGACATATAATACGATATATGAGTTTTTCAGTTTTTATCATAATAATTATTTTATTTGTCGAACAATTAAATAAAGTTGATTATTATATTTTCCATACTCTTAAAGTATGTTAATTTTGGTTTCAGAAATATATTTTGATTTGTATTTATTTCATGAAAATTTAAAAAAAATAGACGAATTAAACACGTTTTTAAATTTTTCATTTTTTTTGAAATTTTTTTCCAAAAAACAGCCAAAATTTTCAAATCTAAACGCACCCTAGCATTTACATTAACAATCTAAAATAATATTCTTGTGATGTGGAGGACTTGCCACATAAACAATAACAAATGGATCATAACCATCAATTACTCAAACCATAAGGTGGTAAACTGAACATTGGCCATCAATAAATACCCTTCTCTCTTTGTTATCACGACGACAAGCTTCAAAAAAATCACAGCCATTTCTACTACATACAAGGGATGGAGGTAAGCGCAGTTTTTTGTATTCTTGGAGTAGCAGCAATCTTTTTATGGACAATATCGAACTGGTTGTGGTTCAAACCAAAGAAGATAGAAAAGTTTCTAAGAGACCAAGGCCTCAAGGGTAGCTCTTATAAGTTCCTTCTAGGAGATCTGAAGGAAATGGTGCAGATGTCAACCGAGGCCAAATCCAAACCCATGAATCTAACTCACGATATTGCTCCTCGTGTGTCGCCCTTCATCCATAAGTCCATTGCTGCTTATGGTACGTACGTACATGTATACTTGAGTTGTTCTAGATTTTTGTTAAACCATGTTTAATTTACGTGAATTCTTGTAGCATCAACCAAATTGTAAATAGGGATGTTAATTTTGGATTATTTCCTATATTGCTTGGAGAAATATAGTATCTAAAATTATATATGTCTATCTTGCATGTTTATTTATTTATTTATTTTTTAAATGTAAGGTAAGAGTTGTTTTACTTGGATGGGAACAAAACCTTTGGTGCACATATCTGAACCGACTATGATACGAGAGGTCTTTGCTAACTATCAGCAATTTCAAAAGCCAATCGAAGGAAACCCATTAACAAAGTTGCTAGTCAGAGGATTAATCTTGGCCGAAGCTGATCAATGGATTAAACATAGAAAAATCATCAATCCTGCATTCCATGCTGAGAAGCTTAAGGTTTCTTGATACTGAATTTTTTCTTTCCATTACAATATATCGCGTCAGATATAGAACAGGGTCACTTGGAATTACTTATGTTTTTCTGGCAGCATATGGTACCCGCATTTTATGTGAGCTGCAGTGAGATGATCGACAAATGGGAGGAAATGATTACAAAAGAAAGCTCGTGTGAAATGGATGTCTGGCCACATCTACATACGTTTTCAAGTGATGTAATTTCACGTACAGCATTTGGTAGCAATTTTGAGGAAGGAAGAAAGATTTTTGAACTTCAAAACGAACAAGCGGAGCTGTTTATAAAGGCTGCACAGTCACTTTACATTCCTGGATCAAGGTGAGTATGCATTCATAAACAATATTAATTAGTGTACTATTTATTTGATACTTTAAATTGTAAAATCACAAATTTTGGCATTTTATCTAATCAAATAAGATTTATATAGATTTTTGCCCACAAAAGACAACAAGAGGATGAAAGAGATTCACCGTGAGGTGACAGCTTCGATAAAGAACATTATTGATAAACGATTTGATGCAATGAAAGCTGGAGAAACTAGCAAACATGACCTTCTGGGCATCCTTTTGGAGTCGAATTATAAAGAAATTAAACAACACGGGAATAGCAATTTCGGATTAAGCATTGAGGAAGTAATCGAAGAATGTAAGCTTTTCTACTTTGCTGGACAAGAGACCACTGGAAATATGCTTGTTTGGACTATGATTTTATTGGGTCAACACACGGATTGGCAGATACGTGCAAGAGAAGAAGTTTTCAATATCTTTCCAGATAAAAAACCAAACATTGATGGGTTGAGTCACCTAAAAGTTGTATGTTTTTTCCTACTATATATAGTCTATAAATTGATGAATATATGGTGGTGTTGGATACACCAAACTTCTTATTTATTTTGTATCTTAAATCATTTTATTGTTTTGTAGATCAACATGATTTTCAATGAAGTTCTTAGGTTATATCCACCTGCAGCAGCCGTAAGACGGGTGACACATGATGAAACCAAATTAGGTAAGTTCACTTTACCAGCAGGAACCCTTGTCCAGATTAATGCATTGTTTTTGCACCATGACAAAGATATGTGGGGTAAAGATGTGAACGAGTTTAAGCCTGAAAGATTTTCTGAAGGCGTGTTAAAGGTGACCAAGGGAAAAGGCTCGTATCTCCCATTTGGAGGTGGCCCTCGTATATGCATTGGCCAAAATTTTGCTATGCTAGAAGCTAAAATGGCACTTGCAATGATTCTTCAACACTTCTCATTTGAGCTATCTCCATCGTACTCGCATGCCCCACATACTATAATCACTCTACAACCTCAGTTTGGTGCTCACTTGACTTTACACAAACTTTAGTTGGTTAATTTGAGGCATATTTAAATTATTATAAAGTAATATTTATACTTTATAACCGGTTGTTGTAGTACTATATTACGTGGTTTGATGCATATTTTGTTTAATATAAAGTATACCAGTTTGTTGTTGTACTATATACTTCTGGTTACTACTTCTGTTTCGGTTGTAACATATGTGTTATTTATATATATACATTCTTATCAATCCAGCAAGGTAACACACGACTTGTAAAATGTATAAGATTTATGGGGTGCTCCCTATTGAAAACAATGGGCCGGGCAATATATTTTAATGTTTATTAACTTTTACCGGTATGGAGTTATAAAAAATACTGTGCTGTAAAACTTACCAGCCCCATATATAATACAATAAAATAATATATTTGGTTTTTGGTTTTTTTTTTAAATATTTATACATGTCAAGTCGCCGAAAATGAAATCTTATATATTTTTTACTAAACCTTCTTTTTTTTTCTTTCTAAATAACAGTTCATGGTTTACTATTATTATTATTAGGTGTGAGACCCGTGTATTACACGGATTGATTTAAAAAAAGATTAAACACTAAAGTGTAAATTATTAATATTTTTTTAATATACAACTTTAAAATAAGAAATGAAGAAATGTATTTATTGCAATTTAATATCATATATGTAATATTTAATACTTTACATATATAGTATATGAACTTTAATTTTAAAAATTGAAACAAACCAAAAATTAACAAGTGGATAATATTTCTTTCAAAAATACCACAAAATGACAAATGTCAAAACTAATGAGAGATTGACATATGGCAAAAAAAAACTTTTATTTATTAAGGAGGATTAGAGTAAATTACATGATTCGTCCCTGGTCCAGGTGTCAAATTGCGCGTTTAGTCCCTATTTTCAAAAATTAACTCGGGTTATCCCTATATAATTTTTTTTCACTCGGACGGTCTCTATAAACATAAAATGACTATTTTGCCCTTAATATATATATTTTTAATTTTTTTATTTATTTATCAGTTTTTGGATTAAAAAATAAATAAAATTTAAAACAAATAACCCCAGCACCAACCACACCCCTCCCTCCCCCCCCCCCCCCCCCCCCCCCCCCCCTTTTACTTCTACCTTCCCTGGAAACCAACACCATCGGAGCATCAACAATACCACCATACCCTCATGTTTAACCATCAACAACAACACCATCACCGTCACAAGCTCTACCGCTTATGCCACCACATTCGTCTTCAGCATCTCTGCCTATGTACTTCTCCCCAATTTTCTACATTACCGTTAAGATCTGAACTCCAATAGGAGGCTAGGAGCGGTGATAGGTGGTGTTCAAATAGGGGGCAGTCGGAAAACTTATCCAGAAAACTCTGAAGATTGTCTCACCAAACCCTAAATGGGTTGTAGCTCTGTGGATCTGCACTTCACGTCGTCGATCTTTATGAAGGAGATAAACCCTCTAATTCCTTTGGGTAATGGTGCTGCAGAAATATATCGCACCCACCGACCACCATAACTCAATCTCTTCATCTTTCAAGTTCTGATGTCCGCCATCACCACAGTCTCCGGCAGAACTACTGAATGCCACCATCATCTCAATTATATACCTCGATTTCAAGATCTGGAGGGGATAATGAAACGTATTTCATCTCGGAGCCTCCACCGCCACCATGCCTTCAACTAGTAAATTGGTCGGAGAAGATGAAGGAACAGAAGCATATGGGTTCAGGTGGAGTTTTATTCCTCACTAATTCTCTTTTTCTACACTGATTTCCTTTTAGATGAGAAAAGAGAGAAATTGGAGACGACAAATGGTTGTAAAGACGAAGAATGGTGATGGCTGATCCGGAAAGAATTTTTTTCCGGCGGTGGTTTCCAGTGATGAACAATAAGGGAAAGAAGTCTTTGAGACGAGAGATGAAGAAGAGGTGTATGAGGGTGGGGGGCCCATTTCTTTTATTGATAGATTAATAATGGAAGCCATTTTTTTCTTTAAAATAAATAGTAATAAACAACTTAAAATAAATCAAAAATTAATACATAAGGGAAAAATAGACATTTTATGTCTGGTAAACGATTTTAGGGATGAAACGTGCAACTTTTAACAATATAAGGGACGATCCGAGTTATTTTTTAAAATAAGGACTAAACGCGCAATTTAGCACTTGGACCAGGGACGAATCATGTAATTTACTCTTATTATTATTACCATTTTTGGGAAAATGATCGGAGGGGAAATAATCTCCTGCAAATGGAATGAAAGAGAAACCAATGCATAGAAAAGGCAACAAAGCTAAACTAAATACTAGTTAGGAACCAAACATTAACAAGGCACCAAAAAATAACCATTGTAAAACAACAGAGCCTAAGCTTGTATAAACAAAAACTAGGCCAATATACGTGCCCGAATATAATAATATATTTGAAATATTTATAAATATATGTTTTTTTTTAAATATTAGCTTTTATTTAATCAATTTTAGAATAAATTGGTATAAACATTGTTTGTTTTTGATTTATATGATAATATAGACTTATTTTAAAATTCTATAATTTTAATCATGAATAAAATTAAATATAATATATTTTTTAATGATATTTATAGTTTTTGTTATGATTATTTAACTTTAAAAAGTTTATTTGTTTAAGATTTTAATTTCTATCATTGTAATTATTTAAAACATCAAACATTGTTTTTGTTTTTAAAGGTAACAATATAATTTTTTATATATAATGTTATTTTTAACTATTGTTGTTATAAGTTATTTAAAATAATGTATTTAAAAACTCTTAATTATTTTAATTTGGTTTCAGAAATTTAACATTTTTTAAAATTTATTTGATAAATATTGTTAGTTTCTTTGATTGTAACTGTTTAAAACAAGAAATATTGTTTTTGTTTTTAAAGATAACATTATAACTTTTTATATAATATTACTTTTAAGTATTCTTATTGTAAGTTATTTTTAATCTACTTATTTGAAAATTCTTAATGTTTATAAAAAATAGGTACGTGGATTTTTTTTTATTAATTTAGGATTACAATTTAGGATTCCAAAAAACATGAACCGGGCTGCAACTCCCTTGAACTCACGTTCTAACCAATTCCTTACTCCTCTCAACAATGAAAGATCTCAACCACCTCAAATGTCAAATATTCAAATAAACTCACGCTACAACTCCTTCTAGCTCGTTGTTTTGGCTTTATCACATCAATTCGGCTGTTAGTCCTCCGACGGGACACACCCCGTTCGCTTCCACCCAAGACTTGCACTATCTGCGGTTGACGTCTGACGACCAAATCATCCAGATAGGCTCCAATCATGACTCTTGGCACACACAATGGCATATGATGATCTTTCGATAATAATACCCAGGGAATTATAAAGAAACTATGATCCTAGGTAAGGACTTAACTAAACCGAACGTAATTGATCATCACCCAATCACAAAAGAAAAAGTAATCAAAATGCATGAAGGAATACATACCCGCGAGGTCTTGAAGTTTTGGCTCTGCTTTCTGAAAGACTGCGGATGATAGGGTCTAACCCGCCCTAATCGACAATCGTGGACGACTTGCCCTAATATGGCCAGGATGATGATAATGATGACACAACTCTACCTCCAGGGTGCAATCTTGGTAAACATGACGCCTCCATCTACACCCACCACATTTTAACTTGTAGTACACAGGCTTGAGGGCTCCTCTACCCATAGCGAACATGTCGTGGCCCCTCAGGCCTCTAGCACTAGGCATGGCAACATCAAACTGTTTAGATGTTGCCAGCAAAGTCAGATCACGAGTCCGCTTCCTCTTAATTGCCTCACCAAACCAAGCTCCCGCTCCCGAGTTACCTCGACCATCCCATCAGTTGTGTGTACGACTGAGATCTGATTCTTGAACTTGACGACCAACCTGCCAGCGACATAACCAATAATGTCATGTAACTCCTCTTGTAAAGTTCATGAAATCTCATTGGCAATCCAATCAGGAAATCGACCCCCCTGAAGGCATGATGCATAACCCACCTTCGATCCCTCATGGCAAGAACTAGCAATAGAGTCCTCCTTCCCGAAAAAACTCTAGGGCTTTATAAGCCTTGAGATTCCGATGTGCCTCTAACTGTCCTACTACAATCTCGACCCAAAAAGCCCCAAGATGATAATCCAAGAGTTCCATGATTCCGTCCTTTATGGTACCAAACATCATAAGAGCTTGATCCAAAATATCATGGGTGATCTCCGACGAGATGAACTCCTGCATCCGCTCATCCATCGACTCAAGACCAACACCTGAGCCTGAACCAGATCCTCCTCCATGAGTGCGCATCATCATACTAAAAAGCAACCATACAATAATCAGATCGTACCCATAAAAATTCTCATCCTACAAGCTAAGCTTCCTAGAATCTTTGTGACCATTTTTTATTCGAGTATGGATCCTATGCTTTCAACAATACGAACCCAATACTACCTTACACACCTATCCATACTTTCCTCAGGAATTATCCTGAATACCCTAAGTCATTTGCTCAAACTGGTATTCTAAATACCCGCTAGTTAGCACAACCAACCCACTAAAGCACTTCCTAGGCTCACCTAGGTTCCCAACCTCACCATGCCATCCGCTGTTGAAGAACTCTCACTAATGTCATCTAATTACTTCATGAATACAATCACATGCAACAAAGCTTAGATAATCCTTTGAGTAAAAGACTCAACCCTACCATGGTGAGACTCAAACGAGAGTTGCTCAATAGAGCCAAAACTGTCACTCTGAGATTACCTAAGCTTTGTAGCATGTGACTTAACATATCACTTAATAGTTAACTCACATCGCTAAGGGTTCCATAAAGCACAGAGCAGGCAGCATTTGTATAGTAACACTCCTAGTCGCAGAAGAAACAAAATGCTTCCCAATCTTACTTACTGCAAGCCATGCTAGGAACTTATACCCTCATTGCCGGTTGCCTTATGCATGCAAATTATACACAATACCTAATCA